CACTCTAAAAGCCAAAAAGTATTCACACTCACCATTTTCCTTGTGCTGAAGTTTGTGAGAAAAGATTACCATCCTTCTGGGGATCCTTCCTCACAAACTTTGTCGCAAGGAAATGTGAGTACATTTTTAATTGCTCAAGGGCAAACTTTTCCTCAGTATGCCCAAAATAAATTCCAAATAGTTGATTACAAATCAAATAAAAACTAACTGAAGAATCTTGCTTATCTTTGTCGCAAGGAAATGTGAGTACATTTTTAATTGCTCAAGGGCAAACTTTTCCTCAGTATGCCCAAAATAAATTCCAAATAGTTGATTAAAAATCAAATAAAAACTAACTGAAGAATCTTGCTTAGAAACATTCAAAAATTCATCAATTGCCCTTGAGCCAAAAAACAGAGGCTTACGTATGCCAAGCAAAAATCAATTCCGAATAAAAAATCTACGCAAAAAAGTTGAGATTATTTTGTGTAAGTCATACTTAAGACAAAAATCTTGATCCTGAAACTTGTCAGTTGATTTATATTGACAATAAGGGCCCTCCCCCCTTCTATTCTTTCTTCAAAGACAGATTATTCCCCCAAACTTTGCCTTTTGTGCCAGCTTGAATTTGCGCGTCACAGCTGCATAATTCGCTGTCGGCGCCAACAGGAATTAGCGCGTATTCGCAGCATAATCCAAAACTGAGCACTGTCCCATCATAGGTGTCATGAGTCGCAGGTGACCTAAGTTTTCAGTCACCTGACAAAGATCCCATGACAACTACGTGATGGAATGAGTGGCGACATGGAATTCTATGTTGGGTTCATGTGATGAGATCAATTGGCTGCCAAGTTAGCCAGGAAAACGGAGTTTCAGTATACGGGGGGTATAATTGACCAAGAGCTTTAGCTGCTTATTCGCTTTGCACTAGGACCCAACTCAAACTGCCTGTTCAAGTTACCAAGAGCAAAGTCCTGCACCTGTGATCAGTCACTGCAGTTGTCTGGCTGCAGCAGGACTCTGTTGACATACAGACTCATCTGTCACCAGAGAACAACAACTGCTGCAGCCAATACACGTCCAACTATGATAGGGAATGTTTGGGTATCTTTATTGAGAAGACCCACTGTGCATATGCACCCAAGACTTAGCCTGTTTTCAAGCACTGAAGAAGAGAGCATGGGAAGAAGAGTGCATGAGAAAAACAGGAAAATTTTCAAAGCATTTTAATTATGATACTTGTACTGTATAAACCTGGAGAATTTCAGTAATTCTTGATAGCTATCCTATAGATATATATATACATATCCGTCTAAAAACTGTTAGAAAATTAAAATAAATGGTCTGCAGCAAATAATACACAGCTGTTATTAAATTTAGGGTCTTTCAATGTTCTTACTGTGCTGACATCTTTCAATAAAAAACCAGGGACCTGAGAACAAATCTGTCATTGAAAACTGAGATGAGAAAAATCACCATCAATTACAAATTTGTGATAATAATTCATCAAATTCAAAATATTTTATAAAATAGAATTTTCATATTTCAGACCTTCAATTTTGAATTTCCTGGAAGTATACCCATCTGACTGAAGTATAAGTAGGAACAATCAAAAATCCATGGACAGTATAAGTGGAGTATCCATTCTTTGACAACTGCATGATACCTGAAAAAACAGCATTCCTTCAAACATGCTTGTCATGAAAAAATCAGTAGTGTATAAGTTTAAAATTGTATTAAATGAGCCTCATAACTCCTGCAATGCTGAATTTTTGGTTAATACAAATTACAACAATTTGACCTTTCTTGAGGCTTTCAAATTTACCATACATTTGGGAAATCAGCCTCTTTTGCCCATAAACAAATAGTCAAGGCAAAATATATTCTGATATTATAATTTTATTTGAAGCTAGTTGCTTTTATTTTATGTCAACATTGTCCCTATGTACAGACTGCTGGGACCAGGAGAGCATTTTTCAACAAAAATGTGCTATGAGATTTGTTGTAATTAAATTTTATTTCATAAGAGTAGGAAGAAAATAACTTGAAAATAACCCATGCAATGCAATTCTTGGACTGCTTGTTCAATCCACATGGACCATTACATGGATTTATTCATTTGTCATTGGCAACCAGGTTAATTGAGGAAATAGTTGAGAAGGGAACGGTGAGCAGAATACAGCAGCAACATCACCTCACAGTTCCTTACATCACTTATAGAAAAGTTCCATCTCAAATGAAGTGAAGCTAAAGGCACAAAAATTGAAAAAAATATTGAACAAGATTACCTAATTGCTATTGGGAAACCTGAGCATCAAATCTGCTTGCTAAAACGCAATCAACAATCATGTACTTTCCATGTCTTATTGATCACGGCTTCTAGTCACGGCTGGAGTTCTGGACACATGTTACAGAGGGTATTAAAATAGTGTACAACAATTTAAATAAAATTGAAATTATTTGCTTTACCCATATTATGTCTCCTATGTTTTACATAATTGTTGAAAGAAAATTGCAACTTCAGTAATTTATGTAAAATTTCAGAAAATGCATGCTGTATGTACTGTAATAAACTCTGACCTGTCAAGGGTGGAATTAGTGGATTGTCACACGTTTTGTGCAGTTTAAACATTTGGTAGTGCAGTCATGATATTGAATGAATAAAATATAACACTTTCTGCCTGCCCTGATAATGTTGATGTGTTCTGCTAGGCTTGGTTGCGCCCAGAGGACCAGTCATTATTTCACAATCCTGTTGCCAATAAAAGGAGGGAAAATACTGTACTACCTTGCGTTGGAAGTAAAGTCCGTTGTCGAAAAACTACAACAAATACTCGAAAGCTTGCTCCGTCATCAGAAAATATCACAAACAATTGTTTCCCCCAAAAAAATGCGGACCGAAGAAATTTCAGAAGCACACTGATATCCTTGTAAGACATTAACTCCGCAGAAATATTACGAATTCTGCGCAAGGAAAAACCACTGCCAACAACTTCTAGAAGTAGCAATTTAGAATGTAATTATAACGCTTTGACTTCATACTCGATGTAGTGACAAAATATTCTGATGAAAGAATTACATCGAAGAATACATTATGTTGCTTGTTATGTAGGCGCTGTTTCCAGTCGATCAACAATTCGGTCGAAAAAAAATGCAGTTCTCCTGGGATTCATTTTTTCCATTATTGACCAAGCAAAAATAATCCTCTAAAGAGCCCCACAAAAGGATAAAAAAGGGGGGTGGAAATCAGAAGATGCAAAACAATTTCCGATTGCCCTGATGCGAAAATCTTCATCAAACTGAAATAAGTTCACTCACTGATGTCGTGCAGCTTCCCGTGGATGGTTAGCTGGAGCATTCAGAGGACGACAAAACAGCTAAGAAAAAAGTCCATTATCTAATTCCTGGGAACCATCTTCAAACGCAGTGCCTGACACTCATCTTCAAGTTCCTTATTTTTCTTCTCTAGCGTGACGCACCACGCCCTACATTCAACAAGAAAAGCGTAAATTTCCAATGCATCATCTAAATATTTTAAATAAAACTGTCGAACTTTTCATAATGATGGTACAGTAATTGATACTCGGATCTAGATTTAGAATTTTCATCCGATCCGGGTTATTGACCAAAGAATTTCCACAAACCGAAGAATTTGAAACCTTTTAAATAAAACTGTCGAACTTTTCATAATGATGGTACAGTAATTGATACTCGGATCTAGATTTAGAATTTTCATCCGATCTGGGTTATTGACCAAAGAATTTCCACAAACCGAAGAATTTGAAACCTACATCCAGGCCTTGAGGTCAGCCTTTTCTTCATTTTGTTGCACAGCTCCCGAGACTGCCTGGCCCCCGGGCAGTAGAAACTCGACCAGAACTACGCCGAGTAGAGCAGTCATCAGTTTCGACCAACAAACGCTGCGAAGTTCTTCCGGATAATCGGGTCATGCACTGTGGACATGTCCCTGCTAGTCGCCTGGAACAGCATTACAACATTTTTCACAAAAGCCGTCAAAGCCAGAAAATGACACAATTCGAAAAAAAGATATGAATAACTTCGCAATCAGAACGCCGAAACATTGAAAATCGAGAAATGGATAGGACAGTACATGTAATTGAATGGATTAATTCAAGTCCGGGACTCCGGGTAGGTTCCTTCATAAAAAAATAAAAATTACATTGATGTTCAGGCAAGACTTTCCTAAAAAAATAACTGGAATACAGGATGACTCTCTACTTGTTTAATATTTTCTAACAAGTTCTCATTCGCTGAGGGATTTTTTTTTGGTCCCAAAGAATTCCCATCACAGCGATCTTTTTTCTGGTCCCCTCAATTTTGTTGCAAGAAGAGTTCATCTCTACTGTTAAAATTCTGTTAAAATTAAATTAAAATTCCAGGAAGACTGCTTTCAACAGTCTCCGAATACGCACGGTGATAAGATTTTCTCAGCAAATTTCTTTTTCTGGTTCCTTGAATTTCGTTACAGAGAGAAGTCTAACTGTGCAATACTCAAAAAAAAAAATCGGGGTTCATAGGATGTAAATTCACTTTTCTGGACCAATATGTGTCAATAATGCAGTCCTCGCTCAACGCCGAATACTGTAAACATCAACAGTTACGAAGGACCCAAATTGAATAAGGACTCACTCTTGAAGCCATCGCATGATGCAGTCCATCAAATGGAACACATGTCGGCATCCAACGGCACACACCGGACGTTTACCCGTGTCGCGCAATCCTAGAGTCAATGAGTCATAGTACACAGCACAGATCGCAGCCATTATTAACGTCCGAAAATCAACTGGAAAAATTCTGAAATGTATGAGTCGAAATAAGCTGAAGTGAACCACAATTACAAATTTGACGCAGTGATTAGAAACCAAAAAATTAATCGATTATAAAATTATAACACTGAAAAAAATACACTAGTTCACCCATTAACTGACTGATTTGAATTCGGCCCACCAAAAGCAGGCCTGGGCACAGACGGAAGGGGATATAATGTTTTTTGATACTCTTTAATTCTGACAGTCTCCGTTTGGAGTGATCCAGACGCTGTCCGGCCATGAGTAAGGATTTCTGGGCTGCATAACTATAGAGCCTTCATGTGGCTGTCCCGTGGATACTTGTATCAAGTAATTTATGTGCTTTGTTAACTCTGTTTCCACACTGCTCAGGGTATTCAAGAACTGCGTATTGTGCTGGTCGACCTGCTTCTGGCTCGGCTTGTCCTTGCTGATTTCCGCCAACGCATGAGATGCTGAAGTGAGGACTTGCGCTATGTCTTTTTCAATCTCATCCAGAACTTTCAGACGTTCCAACGGCATGGAAGCCATTCCCACCAGATTTGATCAAAACCGCTCTGCAAAAAAAATTTCAGGGAAATATCTTGAAATAATTGCACAGGACAGTTGCGAAGATTCTACTTCGTTCACTCATGGCTTCACAGAACTATATAGTACTATACAATACTAATATCGAGGTAGTCTCTATAGCGCAGAGACTACCTCGAATTTCCCTTCGAAAGCCGAAAAAATCTCTTCTACGCAACGCATAGAAGAAACTATATAATCCCGCCGAATAACAAAAAATTAAAGCATAACGAACCTGTGACGTACTTTTTCAACTGATCTATGCTATAGCTGATACGTTCACGTTGTTTAATAATCACAGCATCCAAGTAACGCCGAATTAGACAAACTAAAACCGGAGTTCTTATACCAGATTAAAAAAGACTTAAATCGGCAAACCCTCACAAAAACTTGAAATTTCTCGTCTCAAAAATAATATAAGATGAATAATAATTGACTAAAAGGGGTTCCACTACAGTTCAATGCAGCTCATGAAAAATGAAGGAAGCATAAAACAAAAAAGGAAACTCACTCTAACTCCAGGACAAGAAACACTGTTGAATCACTCCCACTTTTCTCGTATCAAAAATAATATAAGATGAATAATTGACTAAAAGGGGTTCCACTACAGTTTAATGCAGCACATGAAAAATGAAGGAAGCATAAAACGAAAAAGGAAACTCACCCTAACTCCAGGACAAGATACACTGTTGAATCACTCCCACTTTCATTCGTGCCTGCTTCAAAAAACGCGACAAGGTAAGACAGAAGCCACGTAGTTTCCAACAGAAAAGAGTCGATACGATCTCCCCCACCTTTTTTCTTTTTATTACACTTTCCAAGTTTCTAGATTTTTTTATCTGTTGTCTTGAATTTTGTAAAATTTTTTTATGCTTTTTCAATTTTTTTCACGCAGGCGTCTAAACCATGAAAGTATGCGAGGACGCATTGGAATGCACCTTACAAACGAATCCAACACTCAAATATAAAAAAAAAGAAGTTCGGCATCGTCTCGATTTCAACGACATTTCCAACAATCCGCAAAAGGATAGAGACGCGTTGAACTCGTCACCGCTCGACCTTCAATCTTGAACTAGCGGAGCGAGATCTTCGCACAGTCAAGGATCGACTTCGCATCATGCACCTCCATCGAGAGCCATATGCAAAAAGAAGTTAAGAATTGATTTAAAACGTTGTCAGTAAGGTCGATCTAACCAAAATCGCAGTGTCCGCTTCGGTATAGCGGGGATGTTGAAAACAAATTTCTCAGCTTACGCCGATCCCGCATCCGGCGCTTTGCCCCTATAGGAAAAATAAAAGGAAGACGAACTTCTTCTCACATTAAGTCAAAACCATCTACGCCACTGTGAATCCACCACCACTCGGTAATTCGATTAGAATCACAATTACAATACTACGGCTAATGCTTTGGAATTTACTTCACAATTACAACCAATTATTGAAACGGTAGACTGAACATATATGAGGATGCCACATACAATGCATCAGTTTACTTTTTCCAAGTCCCACTTTTTAGAACAGTAATGATTTTCACTGTACGTATTTTAATCAAGTATAATAGAGACCAAAACATGCACACGCATGCATGAATTTAAAAAACGGTACCACTTAATTGGAACTACTGTATAGGGGCAGACTTCAAACTATAGTTCACAGTTGAAAGAGATTTAGAAGGCCAATCTCTAATTTTGCGACGAAAATAAACACGCCAGGAACGCATGGAAACATTTCGTCAGTACACTTCCATCTCAGATAACAGAACGTTAAACTGACTAAACATAACAAGGTGCAAAACAATCAGCGTGATTTGCGAGTTCACAATGGAAGCTGCGCTCCCGAGTGAAACTGTCACCGAGCACGAACACAGATCCGGTAAAACCCGCAACTTTTACAGCCCAACCGAACACTGTACCATTGCTACCAAATACTTCATTCAATTCAAACATACAGTATTTAGTATACCGTATTTAATTATGAGACAATTGAGACTCGAAACGTAAATAAACCCTGACGGAGCATACGAGAGACCACGCTGAAATTCAGAAGGGCTGGCTATTTTCTATACACCCATATACAGTGTGGCTTCATATTGTCAGCTCAGGGGGCCCATATTAGAAAATTATGCAGGTGGGCTCTAATATCTTGTCTACGATTTTTTCGGTATACGAATTCTTTTCCTCCCACATAGATCTGTTATCACATTATATGAGTAACTAGAACTTCTATAATGTGATGAGAGATCTCTGTGGGAGGAAAAAGAATTCATTTACCGAAAAAATCGTCGTAGACAAGATCTGATTCCTTGAAGTTTGTTGCAGAAAGTCCACCGGTATTCAAAAATTTTAACAAAGATCTTTTAATAGATCCAGGAAAATTCAGTGCTAATAGTCAAATAATGGGGGAGCTAAAAAATGAGAACTGTTCAATTTATCGTAACATTTAAGGACTTCACAATGGGAATACGGTTCGACACATGATATGTGCTTATGCAAGGTCGTAACTCTTGCAATACAGGAAGCTACAGCAAGCTTCTGTAAGAGTGAAATTTTTCATATACAGTATAGTTGCGTATAGAACAGTATTTTATAAGCTGGGCATATGGGTTACACGGTTCGATAAGCTGAATATAATCATTTTGAGTGCGAACTCGCTCTTTGCGAACAGGTATTCCTTCGAATCACTAAGTGATTAATCAACACTATAATGAGGATATTTTCACTTCTTAAAATCGCATGAAAATGGGTACCTTGAAACTTGACGACCGAACGAAACGCTACGGCTTAATTATGAATACCCTAAATTCACGAATGAACAAGCGGCAGATTATCCTTACGAAAATAATCTAAAGCGAATTGCCCTGATCTCATACCGTAACCAGCATTAAACAAGGTCCAATTGAAGATCAGAACAAAAAAATTAGAAGTACCCACGTTTTGCCCATGCAGTCGTACAGCTCTAAGCGTGACCCGAAAATGGTCCTGATGGTAAGGAACGACTCCGAGGATTTCGTCGGTAACACGACACCCGTTCCAGCTTCGCAAGCATTTCGGGTCGGACGGTGCGACGTGATAAGAATAGTCTAAATTCTGCCGAAGTCCGAAACATGTGGTATTCATGAACTAATAAATTAACCCGAAACTGTCCTCAGTGCATCAATATACACACCAGATTGTCCCGAACTTAAGCCGCGATTGGTAGTTTTGTGAACACGAAATCCAATTCAATGCCATCCAGCTTCAGTTTCAATACTGGCACATCATAAGCGTTTTCGATCGGCTAAAACGTGACAACATGAATAATTAGCAGTTGAAACACGAATTATGCAAAACCATACGATCAAACGCGAACGATTACGTCCGCGGAGATTTGCAAACACATATTGATCCAGAAATCACCTTTCTCGAAGATTTTTCATTTGAATTATCAAATCACTGAAATGATCCAGCACATCTTCATAATTTGACATTCCGTTCCCCCGCGGGTTGGTGTATACGCCTCAAAAAGAGGTGCGAAAATTAAATCTAAAGCAATTAAATCAAGGAACCTTTTTGAGAAGCGATGTTTCCCCACTTTTGCCCATCGGAAGAAAAAGGAAATCGGAAGACAAACATCCCCATCCAGAAAGACTTGTGCAAGACTTTCCCTTGGGTTCATTTTTACGATGAGACACTCTTTTGGGGAAACGAGTAATTCACACCACGAAAACCGTGCGCGCACTAAATATGAGAAGCCATTGATAACAAGACAAATATTTTTCTACGCCCTCTTGAAAAATTTTCTGCACGACCAATATACTGCAGTGGAAAACAACCTCCCATGGCATACAACTACACCAACAGGAACTCCGCGGTTTTCTATTCATGCTTCAAGTATCTTCTTCATTGCATAAAATTACTCCTGGACAATAAATATAGACCCTTATTAAACCGAAGATGAGTCGCCGGCATTCGTTCAAGTAATTAAATGTACAGTATTCGAAAGACCAATTTCTTAAGAACCACCAAACCGGACATGAAATCCAACAAGGCTTTCACCATAAATTAGCATACCGTAATATCAACAATTCAATTTTTAACCCTTGAAAAATTTCCAGCATGTTGCAAGATGGACGAGAATTTATGGCTGTAATAGAAAATGCTTCACTTTTCATTTTTCAGTGCCTTGAAAAAAGGGGGAAAACTGCGATGAAAAATGGCGAATGCATAGGACATTATGGAATCGAAATTTTTTTTGTAAGAACGACGCCAGGAATAGTTCAATACGCGCGGAAGAGGGGCAATCCTCGCACTTATGAGAAACTTACACTAGAAGTGAAACACTAAGTCAGCTAATCATAGCATTCTTGCATAACCCTCTTGAAAAAATATTAAATAAATTTGTTCTTTCACGAGACTCACCCTGATATCAGATACACCCGACGTGGCTCGGAGGAAGTCGACGAAACTAGTGAAGAAATCGGAACGCTCAACGTGGCGCGGGGAGACACACTGAGCATCTATATATCCGCCCCCGGGGTGTGAATGCCAAGCTTGAAAGAGCCGAACGGAAACACGTTTCCACCAGACGAGTTTATTAGCAAGTCCGGCAACCTCCGCTGCTTCGCCAAATCTTTCACCCATTCCTTGACGACTGCGCTTATCGCGAGACAAAATGTCGACTCTGAAAGACGAGATACCGAACGAAACTTGTCCGAAATTCAGGTGGGGATAAAATAACTCAATAAGAACTCGCTCGACGGCATTCTTTCCCATAGCAATAACAATGCACAAAAGGGCAAGTACCACTTCCTCAACTTATCCAGAAAATTTTCGCTGCTTGATTTGAGTTCTACATGATGAATAGTGAAAATGTACTCAGACGTTTCAGATGCTTGTGTATAGCGTTAATCACTTGAGGTTGGTATTTCGTTATACTCTGCTATGTAAGCAATTTTTCACCAGTGTGCGATACTTCATTCGAGCTTGGTATTTAATTTACATCACATGATTTGATCCAGTATTGTACTTGTGATTGCACTACGTTGACCCGCATCCCTAAACTTGAGACCTTAAAATAATAAGAAGCGTCCAGTTTATATAATCTCTAAATTTCAAGGACGTGGGTCGTAATTCCAATCACGTCGCATCAATTTCAAACAAGTGTATAGGTAAGATTTCAAATTCAGTATGTGGTACGTGTATCGTGTATGGCTGAAATGAAAGCTAAATTTGATCGAAATTCATTCATTTTTGTTCAATAAGCTTCGTTTTTCAATATTGCCGCTATGATCATGCTGAAAGCATACTTAACGCCTCGCAGTAACGTTATTCATTTATTTACAAAACCATGACATTCATTTAACATGGCCGGTGTACTGTACATCATTACTTTACTGTATTTACGTTTCAAGCGTGGCGGTAGTGGACTCTGGGGACAAGAATACTGTACAATTGAATATACAGTAGTACTGTACATTTCTCTACTATACGCGTGAGCCTCACTGCCGTGTGTGTGATAAATATAATATCCTGGTTGAGTTGAGTTCAGTCAGCAAGTCTGTGGCCCATATTCAGAACATTCAAGTGCAGTATATTCTTTCTGGAATGATCAGAAGGATTCAAGTGCAATTTTACTACACACTGTATTCATCATGGATACTGAAAAAATGAATATTCTTTAATTTTACACGCGGTAATTTCTCAATGACCAGCCGTTAATTCGACGTTGTGTCCTAAATAATATTCTTAGATCATCGATTCCTCAGCATCAACATTGAAAAAAAAAATGTTTCATACGTTTTTCACACTTTCTTTCCCTATTTTTTTTTTTGACAT